TATATTATTTTTTAATTTTCTGATCTTTGCCTCCAAACTTCCTATGTTTTCTATATATTTTAATGATTGTGTTAGCTTTATTTCTTTTCTTGTTTTTATTTTGTTTTAGGAGTGAAAAAGTCTTCTTTGGTTAACTTTTCATTATACAAAACGATGGGCTTCCGTACGACATTTTTCACATGTATGTGTCAATATACCTAGCTCCTGTTCACATGTGTACCCATTAACTCTTATTTCACTGAAATTCTAGAAAATAAATTGGTTAGAACCCTCTTAGCTCCTCTGAGACTTTGCATCAGGCTAGAGGGGAACCTCTGATGAGCTCAAAATCTGCAAGCCTGCCTTGCAGAGTGCCTTAGTGGCTGAGCCCATCTCTTCCCCTATTCTTAGTCTGTAAAAAGCCTTCTCCCTAGTTAACATCACCATACAGGACCCTTTAGCGATGTGTCTGGTTTGATCTGAAAGCTATGACACCCCGAAAATTGCTCAGACAGCCCGCAGGCCCTGTAAAACACTGATGCAACAGTAAGTGTGCTTGCCAGCACATTGCCTACATAATTGACTCTGGTTGCTCTTCTTAAATTCCAGTGCATTAAATCCTCTTCTTCTCTTAACAAGGGAGGCTTGTATGAGACGGTTAATGAGGTCTACAAGCTGGTCATCCCCATCCTGGAAGCGCATCGGGACTTCCGGAAGCTGGCCTCTACACACGACAAGCTGCAGAAGGCCTTTGACCACATCATCAACAAGGTAGCTGAACACTAGGGTTCTGTTAGCTGCTGTCAGGTGACCCATCCTAGAGGTGCTCCACCATCCTTTTTCACTGGCTACAGACTGGCCTTGAGCTCAGTGTTGCTGTAGTTCTCACCATCAGACAAGGAAGGGCTGGAAACTGACTGAAGGAAGGCAGGTGGAATTGCTTTATAAATGGAAAAATGTGAGAAACTTTTAAGTTCACTTAGATGAAGCCACAGACATCTTTCCTAGGATTTCTTTTGTTATCGCTTCTAACATTTATTTTGTAAGCATTAAGACTGCTTAAAAGCAGTTCATGGTGGCATATACCTTTAATCCCAGGACTCCGGGAGGCAGAGGCAGACAGATCTTTGTGAGTTCAAGCCCAGCCTGGTCTACATAGTGAGTTCCAGGACAGCTGGGCTACCGGGAGTCCCTGTATCAAAAAGACCAAAACAAAACAAAACAGAAACACTGCTTAACAAAGCGATTCCTCTTTGTGTCAGCTACAGGAATAAAATGTCTGCAGGACAATGAAAGATCTTTTTAACCCAGTGGATCACTGGTAGTGACATGACTAAAGAGAACTTTTCTCCTGTAACAGGATCATAAGAGGATGTTTGGAACTTACTTCCGAGTTGGTTTCTATGGTTCCAAATTTGGGGATTTGGATGAGCAAGAATTTGTTTACAAGGAGCCTGCAATTACTAAGCTTCCCGAGATCTCACATAGACTAGAGGTAAGAAAGAGATCCTGTGTGCTCAAGATTGTACTCATCAAGAAAACCAAAGTTTAATGAGCCATTATGTTTTTTAAAGTCATGTGCTCGGCACTGACCTATATATAAATATATATAATAGTATGAAAGTATTAGATGAGATTGTGAGTTTCACAAAATTTGGACAGTTTTCTCTTGAATCCTATATATATTTTACAAAGTTTAAAATTTAAATCTTGAAGAGTTATTTTCAAGACTATTAAATTCAGTCTGCATCCATGATTTCTTACAGCCCTTTCTAAATGTTGCTAATAGGTACCAACAGGCATGAAGTCATAGAACTTTCTGACTTGAAGGTCATCATCTTGACTTTGAGGCACTTTTGCCAAACTACTAAATCACTTCCCCTCCCCAACCCAAAAAATGGTGATTATCATTTTGTTGTCACTGAACAACACATTCTATCTGAAAAGTAGCTCTGCAGTAGGCTATGGCCGGCTCCAGATACACCCAACATCTACATAATGTAACAGGAAACAATAGCAAGTCCTTGCAGAAATGGTTGAAAGGAGAGAGCCAAAAAAATGGCGCAGACATTAGTCAGAAAACTGGAAGCAATTATTGAGAGGGCCAGATGCTGAGAACTTGGTGAGAAAGTCAAGGGGTGTCCCAAAGTAAAAGCTTCTTTGGCTGAGAGACTAGGGTCCTCTGAACAGCTGGACCCTAGTCAACCAAAGTTCCCTGTTTATGCTGTCTTGCTGTTACTTTGAATGTGTCCCCTCTTAAGACTGTAAAGCTTAAAAATTTGTCTCGCTCAATTGTTCCTTGTACTATTTACCCCTGCCAAGTAAGACAAGAGGTCTCAACTCAGAGAAGCCAGTCCCCAGTGATGTCAGGCAGCTTGCCCAAAGTCATTCACCTCTGAGAAGAAAAACTAACCATTGCCCCAGGTCCTTAATTCCCTAATACTGTGTCACTTGCTTAGAATTAGAAGTGTGTATTTTGTTCCCTTGTATACTGTAGCTTGCCACATTATGGGAAGCCAGCTGACCGCCAAGTTTCCAGGGGACAAAATGTAAGAAATAATTAGTGTCATGCCCCTGAAGAGGTATCTAGAAATATGATGATGTTAGTTGAATTCGAGACCAAGTACATATATTGTGGGAGGCTTAGATAGTTGAGAGTGCTGGGCTTCCTTATACTTTCATTTATGTCTCTAGAAATGCTGAAGTTTGCTACTTAGCTCAGAGGGACCGTCCATAATCAATGAATAAATTCTTTGAACTTATTCCAAACTCATTCCACCTCTGAAAAGATAAAGAGTTGCTTTCTTTCAAAATGAACTTTATAAACACATGGCTTCTTTTCTTCAGGAATTTTATGGTCAGTGTTTTGGTACAGAATTTGTGGAAGTGATAAATGACTCCACTCCTGTGGACAAAACCAAACTGGATCCCAACAAGGTATGGGGAAATAAAACAACTATCGAACTCTGAATCCTTTTTCTACTCTGAAAGCACAAAATGACTTTCTGTGTCTGGACTCTTGCCAGTAATTTAAATGCAACCATGATTTGTATCATAGTATAGTGTAGTGTGTGTGTGTGTGGTATGCACATGTGTGCCCATGTGTAAAGGCCAGAGGTTGACATTAGGTGTCTTCCTCCATCATTTACCACCTTATTGTTTTGAGACAGTCTCTCTCTCAGTAAACATGGATGGAGCTGGAGAGGTGGCTTAGTGGTTAAGAACACTTGCTGCTCTTCCAGAGGACCGGGATTCAATTTCCAGCACCCACCTGGCAGCATCCAGTTCTGGGGCATCGGACTCCTCTTCTTGTCTCCACAGGCATCACCTGCATGGGTGAACTTACATACATGCAGACAAAATGCTCATACACATAAAATAAAAATAATAAATTTAAAAAATACTGTAAACCTGGAGCTCCCTGTTTGCCCATAAAGCTTCCAGATCTACCTGCCTGAGGTTACAAATGCATAGTATTGACTTTATATGGCTTCTGGGGAACCCAACTCAAGTCCTTATGCTTGTTTAGTAAGCACTTTACCCACTGGGCCATCTCCCTAAGCCCTTTTTGGTTTTGGGTTGTTGGGTTGTTTTGTTTTTGGTTTTTGTTTTTTGATTCTTTTTTGAAAAGTTTTGCCATGTAGCTCAGGTTGCCCTTGAACTCAGTATCTTCCTGCCTCAGCCTCCATGGTGCTAGGATTATAGGTACCAACACATCTACTGGTTTACAGCATTGCTTTTCTAGTGTTCAATAACCTATTAATTAGG